TTAAAAAATTCATCTACTGTACATTCTGATTAAACTCGAGTTTATGGTAATTATCCTTATTGAAAAAAATTAACACTCTGTAAGAGTTGAATTATGCATCACAATGGACAAAGAATATCTTTTTCAGGTCATTTCATCCCAATATTGCAGCCTCTCCTAGCAATACTGATGTAACAAAGTCGTCGTTCCAGTTTGATAACTCTACCAATTATTACACAGTGAATGTTAGTCCATTAGCGTTTTTTTTGCTCTGCTACCGATATGGACATTCTAATTTTTCATCCTTTGCAGACAGATGTGATCGTTCACGGAGAACTCTTGGGGAAAACAGGATTACGACTTCGTTTGGTACGTGCGGAGGACTGGAATGAGATCGATGATTCGTGGAAGGTAGGAGTTTTCGTTGCACTTTGCGAAGGTCAATGACTTGTTGTAAGGGGCACGTTTCAAGGTACCTGAACCTATGGAGGATAGTTCGAACAACATCTTGGATGTTTGGGTGAAGAGAAGTTTGCAATCTGAGAAGCTTACCCATATCTTTGTGGCTTCTGTGGTGATTCTGATCACGTTTGCAAACATACTCATGGGATGTGAGGTGGGGGTCTCTGATAGAGGACGTAGTGTTTGGAAGGATAATTCTCATAGTCTTTGTTGTAGCTGGATATGGATACAGTGTTCGCTACCATCAAACGACCAGTAGCTCCTGCAATTGGATTTTTTGCCCAGTTCCTAATAATGCCCTTGGTATGTTTCAGCTTCTTTAAGGCGCCATTGTCTCTTGTTGCGCTCTTTTTTTCCTTCTAGTCTTAATACGCTTGGAATAAGAATAATCATTTTGATTTTACACCATTTCAATTCATATTTCTCAAAATATTCTTTATGCATAGCGAATCGTAATCAACACATATTTAGAGATCCTTGAGATGCAATTAGTAGCATATCTGAAGATATTTAGCTTTCTTATGCCATCGCCAAGTCCGTGTTTGTGTCTCGTGGCCTGTTCTCCATGGCACTCGGTCTTTTCATCACTGGTTGTTCTCCTGGTGGAGGAGCTTCCAATTTTTGGACCCTACTTTTGGATGGAAATGTGAATCTCTCAGTGACAATGACATTTATATCTACACTTGCCTCGTTAGGTGCGATCTTTGAGCGTAAGCTCACGCTTAACTAATTGTTGACGCAGCTGCTATGTACATTTGCGTATTTGTTTAGTGATGATGCCATTTTGGATCTCTGTTTTTGGCCAGGAATTCTTGCAGGGATTCTCTTCAGAATCAAAGATTCATGTGCCATATGGTGAATCACCTCACTCTTTATAATTTCCCTTTGACTTTATCTTAATACGTATTTCGAATTCCAGCCAAAATTACACGCTCTCTGGTCTCGCTGGTAGTTCCACTGCTTATTGGGGTAGCTATCAAGAAATGGAAACCGGAATTGGCAGCGAAGTCGCGCAAGGTATGGTCCGACTTCTTTATTATTGAAGGGAAAACTGAATATTTCAACCAAATTTGCATTTTCGAATTTTGGCATACCGATATGTTCATGAGTAGCTCTTTCACTAAGTTGGAGAGGTTGTACTTGCTCATTTCATCCATTGATTTTTTAAGTTGACGTTCTCCGTAGCACTCGAAAAATTTATTTCAATCCTTTGCAACATTTGTTATCAGCAGCGATCCATACAATCTTATCACCAAGGTGTGAAATGCAACTGTGCAAACAACGTCCATTGTTCTTGCTGTCGTGGCAATTATTTTCTGGACTGCTTGCACGGCATGTTTCTATGTTGAGAACAGCGCTCTTCCACGCGCAGAACGCAGAACTAGTTTGCGAATGGAATTACAGATAGTCAGGGAATGGAAATTGTACTATCTGATCGTTAAATATGGTTTCGAAGGGAAAACTTCAAACCTCAATTTTATGTTATATGAAATATAGACGGACATAGCAGTGATCATTATTGACAACAATAAGTGTTCAGTTTGAAATCAATCAATGGCACCATATTAATCTCTGTGCAAAGGCAGTTATCACATCGATTTTTTCCCTGCACATCATTCCCTACTTTTTGGAGACAATCTTTTTGGAGTAGAATCGGCTGAAAAAAGAAGAGTTATATGCTTGTAATATAATAATAGACTTGCTCTTTTGATCAGATTCTAAGATTTGAATCAGTCTGAGGAAAAAATGATGTGTGTAAAGCAGGTATCTGGCAGCGCCTAGTCAATCCGGGAAAGCACAGTTAGAAACAATCAGCATACTAG